GCTGCATGGGGATTCTTCCTTTGACAAGCCCTGCTGTGGCAGAAAAGGGAAAAGCCCTGCCTGGAAGCTGTTAGCCAGGGACACAATGGTCCTGGACAGGACAAAGATCTTTCTAGAACCACAGGTGACAGTGGTCCAGACCTGCACGAAGTGTTTGACATTTGGCGTAGACAGCTTTGACACGCTGACATGGGAGGGCCAGGCAGTCTGGAGCAGCCCAGGAGGTGGGTTGCAAAGGAGAGAGGACACAAGAAACCAAGGCCAGGACCTCAATCCCCCACCCCACCCCGGGCCCCTGCCTTGAGGCTGCTGTGTGCTCTGGGGTGAATTGATCCCACCTCTGACATTCAGGGTCGAATGAGGGGGTGAATGTCAGGGTTTCAAAGGCTCTTTCTGCCCTGGCCGGTTTGGCTCAGTGGTTAGAGTGTCAGCCTGTGGTCTAGAGAGACCCGGGTTCGGTTCCCGCTAAGGGCATGTACCTCAGTTGCAGTTTGTCCCCGGCCCTGGTTGGTTGTGCAGGTGGCAGCCACTCGATGTGTCCCTTTCACGTCGATGTTTCTCTCTCTCTCTCTCTCTCCCTCTCTCTCCCTCCCACTCTATCGGAACAAAAAATGTAAAAATGTCCTCAGGTGAGGATAAAAAACAAAAACAAAAAAACAAAGGCTCTTTGCATTCCACCTCCTCCCCTTTCTTCTTGTTAACCAAGATGCAACTTACACAGAGGAAAACACACAACTCTCAGGTGTACAGATGGATACATTCTTGAATTTTAAAGTTTTGACTTTTTGCATTTATCTTCAGATAGAGCAGGAGGGAGAGAGGGAGGAAGAGAGAGAGAGAACCATTGACGTGAGAGAGACATATCGAGTGGCTGCCTCCCACATGACCCCAACCAGGGCCAGGGACGAATTGCAACCAAGGTATGTGCCCTTGACCGGAATTGAACCTACGACTCATTGGTCCGTGGGCCAAAACTCTAACCGCTAAGCCAAACCAGCCACGGCAGCTCCAGTGTTTTTTATTTGATTTTTAAAGAGAGAGGAAGGGAGAGGGGGAGAGAGAGAGAAACATCAATGAGAGAGAAACATTAATCAGCTGCCTCCTGCATCCTCCCCCCCGCCACTGGGGATTGAGCCAGCAACCCAGGCATGTGCCCTGACAGGGCATCGAACTGGCCACCTCTAGGTACAAGGGGCAGCACACAATCCACTGAGCCACACCAGCCTGTACTCCATTCCCATGTTTCACGACTAATGATTCTCCTTGACTGAGCACAGTCGTCTTTCTTTGCACCATCTCCAGCCACCTGTGGCTGCTGAGCACTTGAGGATTGGCTTGTCCCACGCCATGTGCTGCACGTATACAGCACACACTGGCTTTGTTAGACTTAGTGTGGAGGAAAGTGTAGAAGATCTCGTGAATCCTTTGTACATCGACCCCGTGTTAAAATAGCAATATTTTGAATACATAGGATTAGATAAAATACTATTACAATTAATGCCACCTATTTCGCTTTTGCTTTTCTCAAAGGGGCTGCTGGGAAATTTGAAATTCCCTATGTGTTGCTGTTGTCCTGGAACCTGAATGCCATCTTGAATAGTGTCTCCTGCATCTGCCCCAGTAGCGGCTGGTCACACATGGAGAGTGCCAGGGACAGTGACTGAGAGTGTAGAGGTGGCCGAGCACAGGCATGTTCTTGTGGTTTTCTGCGTGGTTAAGCCCTTGCAGGCTCCTTCCGGTCTCGGACCTTGCCTCCGGGTCAGGGTCTGGCTGCCCGCAGAGCCCTTTTTGCTTGGTTCTGCCTCTTTTTAAACACACAAGGAATGTGAGGGTCTGTTTGAGTTGGGTTGACTCAGACCTGTCGGGACTTTTTGCAGACTCCACATCCTGAGGGGAAGAATCGAGTCACCTTTGTAGAAGCCCCTGGGGGTTTCGTGACTTCCTGCCTGTCCTTTTGGGTGCTGGTCCCCGGAGTGGGGGCGGGTGATGCACTTTTGTTTTATAGAATACTTTTTGCTACTCTTTTGTTTTTAAACATCTCTCCGGTGTGCAGCATGGGGCCCGGGGTTGCTCTTTTTGTTGTTTGAGACCGACTTTTTTTAAAAGATAATTTTGTTCATTTACCTTTTTTTGCTATATTTTTATGAGAGTCTGTCATCCTGTTTTGTTCTTTCTTTTGACCATCACTTGATTTCCCATATACTCGTGGTTTTAGGTTGGACTGTGCTCTCTGTAGTATTCTTAGCCCTTATCAAACAGACTTCTTTTTGATCTAAACCTTCTAATGACTAACAGACACAAACAGGAGTGTTCTTACTGCTTTAGGTTGCCAAACATAGTTATCACAAAGCCGGAGACTTCGAACTTCCTCCTCCTGGGCCTGCCCTGGGCCCCTCCCCCACGCCACTGGGGCTCAAGGTTGAGAAACACTCATGCTCGGTTCTCCTTTCTGACTCCCACATCCAGCTCGTGTTCACTTGCCCTGATGACATCCACAGACCCCGAGCAGCGCAGTAGGGAATAGAAAGGATGTTTAGTCATCCTGGGCTAGTTCCACAGTCTCTCCAAGCCCCACTTGCTGGTCTTCTCAGAAGTGTGTGAGGCGGTGCCTGGCACATACTAGTTGCTCGATACACATCAACCTCCCCCTTCTCCCTCCCCGTCCGTAGTCTTAGTGGTTTGGCATAGCCAGCGGTTGGTTTGAGTTGATACCATAAAACTTGACCTTGAGTGTGCTCCTGGTTTAGTCATTCTTGGAGGGCCGGTGACTTATTTTTGCATTCGTGTTTTTTAATTAAAGTAAAACTCACATACCATAAAATTAACCATCTTAAAATATACAATGCAGTGGCATTTAGTACATTCACAGTGTGGTGCAACCACCACCTCTATCTAGTCCCACAACATTTTCATCACCCCCAAAACCCCAGACCCGTGAGTGTCCCTCCCTGTTCCCCCTCCAGCCACTCATCTGCTTTTTTGTCTCTGGATTTGCCTTTTATGGACATTTTATTTAAATGGGATTATATAATATATGGTCTTTTATGTCTGGCTTTTTTCATTTAGCATAATGGTTTTGAGGTTCATTTATACTGTAGGATGAATCAGTACTTCATTCCTTTCTTTGGGTGAATAGTAATATTCCACTGTGTGGATAGATCGTAGTTTGCTTATCCTTTCATCTATTGATGGACATTCAAATTGTTTCCACATTGGGGCTGTCATGAATAATGCTGCTAGGAATATTAGTGCGTAAGTGTTGGTGCAGATGCATGCCTCATTTCTCTTGGGTCGATCTCTAGGAGTAGAATTGTTGGGTCATATTAAAGGGTTTTAAAAATTAAGTTTGCTGCCTGGCCAGTGTGACTCACTGGTTGAGTGTCGACCCATGCACCAGGAGGTCGCCGGTGCAATTCCCAGTCAGGGCATATGCCCAGGTTGTGGACCTGATCTCCAGTGGGGGGGCATGCAAGAGGCGGCCAATTGATGTTCTCTCTCATCGATGTTTCTATCTCTCCTTCCTCTCTCTCTCTCAAATCAATAAAGAAAAAAAAATTTTTTTTAAAGAATTAAGTTGGCCGCCCTGGCCAGTTTGGCTCAGCGGTTAGAGTGTCGGCCTGCGGTCCGGAGAGACCCGGGTTCGGTTTCCGCTAAGGGCACGTACTTCGGTTGCAGTTTGTCCCCGGCCCTGGTTGGTCGTGCGGGTGGCAGCCACTTGATGTGTCCCTTTCACATCAATGTTTCTCTCTCTCTCTCCCTTCCTCTCTCTCCCTCCCACTCTATCTGTATAAAAAATGGAAAAATATCCTTGGGTGAGGATAAAAAAAAAAAAAGAATTAAGTTGGCCAATGTGTGTGGCAGTGTTTGGTACACACTGGTGCTTAATAAATGGTGGTGAATATTTACGTTATTTCCTTGTGGAGATTTTTTTTTAAAATTTTTTATGTGGTTGACATTCTGGCCTTCAGACTTATTTTTTATATGTAGGTGGAGTTTTTAAGTATCTGTCACCATTCGGAGATTTTTCTTGTTTATTGAAGTCTTATGATCTACATATTAAAATAACTGTTGATTCCTCGTGGCTCAGAGTTCTCTGATAAGCCAGATCACCTATTTACTCATTCACACCAAAGGTATTTACTGAGTGCTGTGTGTGCCAGGCTTGTGGGCTTTTGTGGTTTGAAACTTGAACACCCTAAGAGGGCACACTGACTGCACTGAGCTTATCACTGTAGTCCCAGCACACGGCATGGTGGTCATTAAATGAATGCAAGCAAGCCCCCTGCTCTCAAGTAACTGAGCATAGCTGGAGAGCTCAGGACATACTTTGTGTGTTCAGTGCCTGGGCTGAACACTCCGACCTGAGCCTGAAAGTCCTACACCGTTTTAACCAGGGGTGCCTGAAGCTAGTGTATACCAGCTCATGAGAGCCAATCCTGTGTCTCTTCTCAACTCCATATACAGTGATGTCATGTTGGTTGCTTGAAATTAACCACCATGGGAATATTTACACCATGGAAATGGGCAAAAGCTATAAATCAGGGTTTCTCTTCTCTCTCTCTCTCTCTCTCTTCCTCCCTCCCTCCCTTCCTCTCTTTTTGAGAGCCTGGTGTTAACCATTTACCAGCACAACAGCCTGCCTTTCCAACTTCACCTGTTATTAGTCTTCTGATGGTGGTTTTCACAGATAAGGCGTCTGAGTCACAGAGAGGTGAAGGAACTTGTCCAAGGTAACACAGCCAGAAAATGACAGAGCCAGAATTCAAACCCATCTCTGACCTTGGCCTATCTCTATGGCCTTGGGACTACCCAGTACCTTGACTTGACTCCTTTTCTGATCTCCAGTCATGTTTTCTTCTGCCAAACCATTCTGCCACCACGTTTTTATTTTGATAATTTCTTCGTATGTTAGGTGCCAGGACTTCCTGGTGTGTTGCCTGAGCAATGCTTAGATCTTGTCCCTTCTTCACGGGAACTCTGTGTTTTATTTGTTCTTGCAGAATTTCGCTAAAGAGTTTGTGATCAGTGATCGGAAGGAGCTGGAGGAAGATTTCATCAAGAGCGAGCTCAAGAAGGCCGGGGGAGCCAATTACGACGCCCAGGCAGAGTAACCCCAGACCTCCCCCTGCCCCTTGCCAAAGTCATTTGCCTGCTCTCCAGGGGAGGGGAACACGGCCTCTGCTACCAGCCCACCAGCCCACCAGGGAGAGGAGACGCAATGAGAGGCAACACCCGCCACCCTGTCTGCAACCCAGCTCCCCTTCCCTGCTTCCCTCATGAGTCCTGTTACGTCCTATCTCCCAAAGCTCATGGAATATCTTTCCTTTATCTTCTTTTTCTGTTGTCCCCCTCTTTCTTGTTCTGAAGAAAAATTATTGTGATGCCAAGATCATGCACATCATCAGATCTGAGGCGCCTCCTGTGGGGACCCCTTTTTCTGGCGTTTCCCTTAGCCTGCCTGGCCTCCTCCCCCACGACCTCACGTTGCTTCTGGAGCCTGGGCCAGTGCCGCCCCCGGTTTTCCTCGGTGGGCCCGCCTGCTCCCCGCTGAGGAGGCAGCTGTGCCGGGAGCCTCCCATCCACGGTGGCCTTCATAAGCACACGCATTCGCCCCACGTGTCCGGCTCAGAACTCCTAGGATGTGCTCCAGGGTCCCTCACCCGCCTCACTCAAAGTTGCCTAAGTTATGGAGACGGTGCTCGGTGGTGAGAAGTCCAGGCCTGATTCAGACCGAAGGAGAAGAGAACATTTGCCTTTCAAGTTGCCTGGCATTAGCTTTGCCACAGGGTCTGAAACAGCCTGTTCCCACCCTTTTGATTGAAGTCTCATTGTGGCGTGGAGTGGGGGCAAGGGTCCGAGTCCAGATTCGACAGCAGTCTTTCAGGGTTGACTTCAGAGACTCCCAAAGCGACCAGGACGTTAGGGAGGGGGCCCGGGGGCAGAACAGGAATTTCGGTACAACTGGGAACTGATTCTTTACTTTGGGGAAGGTCCTCTACCGCAGCAGGGACGGCGGGCTCTGCCACCTTAGCTGGGTGCCGCCGAGCCCAGCCTCCGGGGACCACGCACCTGTGGTTTTAATCTTACACCTGGACTACACATGCAAAGGGTTTCGTTTTGTTTTTCTTCAAAGAAAGATGAGATTGGCTTGGTTCTTCATGAGCATTTTTTATATTGTTCTTTTCCTTTTTTTTTTTGTCCTTGCTCATTTCGTCCGGGGGGAGGAAGTCTGTGCTGTGTTGGGGCTGTGAAGAACATCTGCACTCAAACAGTTTACAGAATAAATGTTTGTTTTGTTGTGTTTTTTTTTCAAAAAACAAGTTTGTCTGATTATCTTGTAAAGCCTCTTTCTTTCTGTAAAAACAAAGGGCCATTGTCATCTTCACATTTAATAGAGATACTGGGAGCTAGGCACATTCATGGTGAAAATTGTATTTAATTTACTTATTATTTTTTTTACATTTATCTTCAGACAGAGTGGGAGGGAAAGAGAGAGGGAGAGAAAGAAAGAAAGAAAGAAACATTGATGTGAGAGAGACACATTGATTGGTTGCCACCCACACGACCCCAAGTGGGGCCAGGTATTAACTGCAACCGAGGTACGTGCCCTTGGCCGGAATCGAACCCGGGACTCTTTGGTCCGTAGGCCAACGCTCTAACCGCTGAGCCAAACCGGCCAGGGCAAAAATCTTACTTAATTTATAACAAACAACTTAAGAAATAGGCTGTTTATGTCCCCATTTTCTGGAAACTGAGACTCAGTGAGACTGAGTCCCCTGAGGCCACCTGGTTAGAAAGAGGCAGAACTGGGATTTGAACCGAGGTCTCCTGCTGCCTCTGTGCTGCGGCTGGTGAGGGGAGTGGAGAGGCCCTGGAATTGAGAGAATGATGCAACAGCAGGATTTGGGTGTTTCCTGAGTGGCCAGAAGCCTCCCCTCTGTCTTTTCAGGGAGAATATACCCTCCTCAACTGGGCTGTGACATCCTTTCTGAGGTTGTCCCAGAGCTTAAAACGGGACTTCCAGCATCCAGACCCGGTGGGAACTCAGAATCAGGCCGGAGGAGTTTCAGACTCAGACAGCTGGGTTTGGAGGTCAGGGAAAGGGCAGAAACCAACGTCAAAGAGGGAAGGAGTTCTGCCAGGTGTGGACAAGGCCACGATTAAACTGCCCTACAACAGCCCAGAGCTGAAGGTCGATCCTTGGCCCATGCCAGCCACATCCGGGTTCTCACACCTTCTCTGCTCACAGCTGTGTGGCTTTAGGTGTTAGTTAACCTCTCTGGGCCTCAGTTTCCTTATCTGCAAAACCAGCAACAGTGCTACCTAATGTGATCGGTGGGAAGGCTTAAGGAGCAACACAATGCTGAGGGTGCCTGGTAGGGGCTCAGTTATTAGATCACACCTGCCACTAGGTCTTGGTTCTGCGTGCCCCGGTGTTTCCTATGTCCAGAACAGAGGCAGCCAAAGTGGGCCTCTGGCTTCCATAGACCTGGAAGGGCTCTTAGCTCCGGTCAGAGAGCTTGGGGCAGTCACAGTGAGGATGAGCCCTTCTCGGGAAGAAAAAACAGGTTCTATGTGAGAATTACAAAGGGACTAAGCCTGGTCATCCAGGAGGGCCTCCCCAAGACAGTGACACCTGAGAACTGCAGGACAGAGGGAGTGAACAGGCGAAGGGGTGGAGGGACGAGACTGTGGACAAAGGCTCCACGGGGTATTTGCTGAGCAGAAGAGCAAAAAGCGGAGCTGAGTTTGTGTGTCAAGGAGCTTGGCCAGTGCAAAGCTACAGCTCAGGGCTTTGCTGGGATTTCAGAGGGTGTTTGATGGGATCACGAGGTCTTCATGGGAAGAGAGACCTTTGCCTTAATCATCTCTTTCTCCCCTGTAACTAGCCCCTGCTAGGTGTCTGGGGTTTTCTGGCTTCCACCTGCTCCTGTCTGCCCAAAGCCTGGACCACCCGATCTGGCCTCCATCAGGGCCTGGCAGCGGTTAGGGATGGAGCTCTGGGCACTCGGTCTGCTTGCTTAGATACACTCGGAATGACTTGACTCATTGATCATTCAACAGCTATTTCAGATGACCCCAAACTGAATCGTGTAAAACCACCACCATGTTATTTGCCCTTGATTTCCTGGGGTAGGAATTCAGGAAGGGTTTAGCAAGGTGGGTTCTCGTTGGCAGGGGTCTCTCATTTGGTTGTGTTCAGATTGGCTGGGTTGGATACGGCCAGTCGCGGATGCTGCAGTCATCTGGGCCAGCAGCTGGGTTGGGGATCGGAGCACCTGCCACGGCCTCTTCTGCACGACGGTGGACTTCCTGTATGGCAGCTGGCTTCCCACAGAGCAGGTGTCCCAGAGGACAAGCCTTTTCTGACCAAGCCTCAGGCTTCACCTGGCAGCATTTCCACTGCACTCTGCTGGGGGAAGTGGTCATGAGCTCCCAAGTTCAAGGACAGGGGATATTAGCCTCAACTCTCAGTGGGAGGAGTGTCAAGACCTGTGTGATCTTCTTTTCAAAGCCCCACACTCACTGTGACCAGGCACTGTGCTAGGCCTGGGGTGCCCTCGTGCTCAGGGGCTTGCAAGGGGGTTGGGTGGGAGAGAGGAGAGCTATAGGCAAACAAGCCAATAATTGCACCGGGTATTCCTGTGTCCCCCAGGAGGTGGCTGCTCCTGGCTGATTGATCCCGGGGGAAGCACCTGTTTCTCAGCTTTGCCAGTCCTCCTGGGCGTTTACCCCCCAGGGAGCTATCTGAGGCTGGAAAGGAGGCCCAGCCCCAGGTGCCACCCTGGTGGGGGAAGGCCTGCTGTCCCCACTCCCAGGACAGGTTGTCCTCATGACAGTCTCCCCGCTGCTTCAGGGAGCCACAGAGAGAGGTAAAAACAAGAAGCAAAATGGTTACTGCAAGGAGATAGATGACTCATCAAGGACTCAGCATGTGGGCTGAGTCAGCTCGGAGGTGACTAGTTGGTGGTCTAGCCTCAGTTTCCTCCTCTGAAAACCAGAGCCATATCTTAGTCCGTGGTGCTTCTATCACAAAAGACCATAGACTAGGTGACTTGTAACCAGCAGACATTTATTTCATAGAGTTCTGGAGGCTGGAAGTCTGAGATCAGGTGTCAGCATGGTCGGGGTGGGTCCTGTCCTAGGTCACAGACTTCTTACTGTGTCCTCACATGGAAGGAGCAAGGGAGCGCTGTGGAGTCTTTTATATGGGCACTAATCCCATTCAGGAGGGCTCCCCCCTCATGACCTGATCACCCCCCAAAGGCTCCACCTAATGCCATCACCCTGGGCTTTAGGACCCCAACATGTGAAGTTGGGAGGACACACATTCAGACCACAGCCTTACCGTATGTATTTACATGAGGGCCAACGAGATGGTCAAACAGCTTAGCATGATGTTATCTTAGCATTATGATGGCTACTCCCAGGAGAGTCCTGGGAGCCCATCCTTGTTCTGGGGAAGGGCGGGGCCATGAGCACCATCCAGCCTGACTCTGGGGAAGTGAGGGAGCATCCAGCTCCTTCTACCCCTGCTTGGCAGCTCCACCCCCCGTGGGCCCACCATGCCGTTCTGGGTTTGGCACTCATCATGTTGAGAACACAAACGCCTCAGGGATATGTTTGCCAGAGCAGGCTGACACCTGGATGAACCTTGGGAGGGCTCTCAGACCTGCGATGGGCGGGGGTAGGGGTGCTGGGAGTGGGTGCCAGCACAGGGTGACGAGGAAGGGTTCAAATCCCAGCTCTGCCACTTACAGGCTGTGTGACCTCAGGTAGGAGTTTGGCCTCTGAGGTGCACCCAGGGTACGTCATGTGACCAGGCTAAAGTTCAGTGGGGCAGGGATATATCACCAAGTATCTGAACAGAAGTACAGTCCACCCACACACCTAGTAAGTAGCTGAGCCAGGATTTGAACTCAGGCAGTCCCGGGTTCAAGCATCTCTTCATTAGCTCATGATATAAGTAGATATAGGTCATAACCGCCACCCCCCCCCCCAAAAAAAAAAAAAAACCCTCAGGGGTCAGTTCTAGCCTCAGGGACAGAGTAAGAAACAAGGCTGAGGCATTTGGGCTACAAAACCCCACAAAGAGTCAAGAAGAGGAATCCTGTCTTGGGGTAGTCAGTGCCCTTGTAAACTTGAGCATCACCCCCATTGCTTTGAGTTCTCACATTGCTCCCAGACAGCCTGGGGGCCTGCAACATTCCATTTTTGTTTGAGTGTAAAACCATGAAACTAAGAGAAAAACTAAACTTAGTTCTTTTCAAGGTGATGCTTTAATTCCGAGCCTTTTCTTGCCTATCAGAAAAGTTCATCCTAAATTTCGATCCCCAAACTGCAGCTCCTTATCAGCCCTTTGCTACCCCACCTCCCCAGAATCTCTCATGGCCCTGTGATCAAGTTTAACCTTCTCAGCAGGGCCGGGTGTCTCTCCAGCCAGGACTCAGTCTACTTCCCTCCTTGGACCTGGCCGTCCTCCCTGACTTTCCAGAAGGCCCCTCTCCTCCCTGTAGAGAGAGACTGGTCTCTGCTGTGACCTGCTTCTTCTAAAAGTTTCTCCCACACCCCATTTAATGTGCTGATGGGTGATTTTCAAAAGATACCTCTGTGTCCCGGAACCTTTGCAAGCATCGGACCTTGTTTGGAAACATGGTCTTGGTAGAGGTGGGTAAGTTGAGGATCTCCAGGTGAGATTGTTCTGGATTTAGGGTGGTGTCTGAATCCAATGACAGGTGTCTCTTATAAGAGAAAGCGAAAGGAGACAGAGACAGACTCACAAGGGTGGAGGCCACGTGGAAGTGGAGGCAGAAACTGGAGTGATGTGGCCACAAGCCACGGAGCGCCTGGAGCCGCAGAAGCCGGAAGAGGCAGGGAGATCATCCCCAGACCCTCCAACTTCAGAAGGAGGCTCGGCCCTGCCAACACTTGGATTTCAGACTTCTGGCCCCCAGAACTGTGAGAGAATACATTGGTCGATGTACGCAATATCCAAACATGCAGAGAATTTTTGTGAGTTTATTTGAACCAAAGTAATGATATACGCTGAGGCGCAAGATCTCAAATGATCCAGAGAATAACAATTTTGTGGCTTCTTTTACACATTTGAAATTAAGGAGGGGACATAGGGAAGATTGGAGAAAACAAGCAGGAATTGGGTTACAGTAGCAATTTTCAAGCAGTGTGCTACAAGGAAATTTAAAACATGCAGGACCTTTTTTTTTTTTTTTAATAAAAGTGCTTTTATTTCTTTTCTTTATTGATTTTGGAGAGAGAGGA